TCTCAGCTGCTCGTCGTTTAGGCCCGGGAAGGCGCAGCCGACGTCCTCCTGGATCCGTCCAATCGGGTCCCGAGCCGCGGGTCCCGCGCTTGCCGGGCGGTCGACGGGATCCTCAGTGCCACCTGTGACGGTTTCCGTGGCGCACACTGCCCTCTCTCTCGCTGGGGGGGGGTCAGTGGCCGCGGCCTCTCGGGGGTCCGTTGCCTGCCGGCAGCGTCCCCCCGTGAAACACGGGCAGGCCTCCTCCGCCCTCGTCTCGGCGTACACCGTGGGTCGCCTCGACAAGGCGTCCGCGTTTGCATGCGTCCGGCCAGCCCGATACTCGATTTGCAGGTTGTACTCCTGCAACTGCGCCAACCACCGGGCCATCTGCCCCCGCGGCTCCTTGAATGTAAGCAGAAACTGCAGAGCATAATGGTCAGTGCGTACGCGACATCTCCTGCCGTACAAATACGGCCGGAACTGTTTGCATGCGAAAATCACGGCGTACAACTCTTGGCGGGTCACGCAATAGTTCAGTTCGGCCCCACTCAAGGTCCGGCTGGCGTACGCGATGACTCGTTCCGTCCCATCCTGTACCTGTGACAACACCGCGCCCAGCCCGCTGCTGCAGGCGTCGGTGTCCAAAATAAAATCGGTGGTAAAATCGGGGAAAGCGAGGGTGGGGGCGTGGGTGAGGTGGTCTTTGAGAGTGGTGAAGGCCGTCTGGCAGGCCCCCGTCCACTGATAGGGGTGCTTAGGGGAGGTGAGTTGGGTGAGGGGGCGTGCAATCTCGCTGAATCCCTTTACAAATCGACGATAATAGGTGGCGAGCCCCAAAAATGATCTGATCTCCGTCAGATTCCTTGGCCGTGGCCACTCCACTACGGCGCGTACCTTCTCCGGATCGGTGCGCACGCCTGCCTCGCTGACGCGATGCCCGAGGTACCCCACCTCGCGTTGTGCGATGTAACACTTACGTGGCTTGAGCTTGAGATGAGCCGCTCGCAGTCGCTGGAACACCTCTCGAAGCCTGGACCAATGCTCAGACAAAGATCTACTGAACACTATCACATCGTCCAAGTAAATCAGGCACTGTTCCCACTGCAAGCCCCGCATCACCAACTCCATCAACCGCTGGAACGTCGCGGGCGCGTTAGTGAGTCCGAACGGCAACACTCGAAACTCAAACAGGCCCATCGGGGTGGTGAATGCTGTTTTTGGCCGATCCTCCTCCGTCATCTCCACCTGCCAGTAACCGGACGCCAGATCGAGGGTGGAAAAATACCGCGCTCCTGCGAGACTGTCGAAGGTGTCGTCGATGCGAGGTATGGGGAAGGCATCGCCGAGCGTGACTGCGTTTAGTTTACGGTAATCGACGCAGAACCGGGTTGACCCATCTTTTTTCGTTACTAGTACCACCGGGGCTGACCAGGGGCTCGCCGAGGGCTGAATTATGTTATCGCGAAGCATGTCCCCAACTGCCTCTTTGATTTGGGCGCGTTCGGGTGCGCCCACTCGGTACGCAGGGAGTTTGATGGGTCGGGCTGCACCGGTGTCAATTTGATGCTTAACAAGGTCGGTCCGACCCACGTCCGAGTCGTGTTCGCTGAACACGTCGGCATACTCCCGCAGTAACTCGCGCAGCCGATCGGCCTCTCCCTTAGGTAAGTCCGCCCATGGTACATGTAACGCGTCGAGCAGGGGAACGACCTCGGCTCGGGGAGTCGGGCCGACTCGCCAGGCCAGGTCCTGCTCACCCTCAGGACGACCGGGGTCCTCAGCCCAGAGTGCGAACACCGAGTCGTTAGAGTGGCGTGCGTGCAGGGGGTGTACTGTGGCTATCGGGGTGCGCCGTCGCAGTATCGCGGGGGTATTGTGGGGGTTAAACATCCGCATAAACAATCGGTCCCCATCTGCGTTTACCAACGTGGCGGATCCCACAACCCCATACCGTTTTGCCAACTCCGGGTGAGGAGTTAGCATTACCTCCCCTGATGGTCGGAGCGCGGGGTCGGTGGGGGATGTTGCCACCGGCACCAGCATCTCGGTGAGCGGGCCGATGGTGACTGCCGTCGCCAGGATAGCGGCCACAGGTGCAAAGCGGCGGCGCGTTGGTTCTCGTCCCAGGAACGGTATCCGCTCGCCGTTGCTCTCCATGGTGGCGCATCGCTGGCGGGGTTGCACGTTGAGTCCCAACCGTTCTAGGAGGTCGGTGCCTGCGATACACTCGTGACACAACGCACTCGACACGTAGAACTCCTGCGTGCACACCTGGCTGCCTATGCGGACCTCTAGGGTGGCTTTCCCCAGCAGCCCCATTCCGGCTCCGCTCGCAGTGTGCAGCGCGCGGTCCGGGGCCTGCAGGTGACGCACGTCGACCCCGATCGCGCTGCAGTGCGCTGCGCTCACGAGCGAGGCCACCGCCCCCGTGTCCAGTAGGATGCGGGTACGCACTCCGTTTACCTCCCCTTCCACCAGCGACGTGGCCCCCGTGATCCCCGCCACCAGCTCCCGCAGCCAGTCGCCAGGAGTCACCGTTTCTGTGGGCGTTGTTGCTGGAACCTGTGTGGAGATCACTCGCTCGCCATTATTCTCATTATCGTCTATCTGTATCGGGACCGCGTCGATTGCACCCCTAGTTGGTCCGCTCTCTAGGGGGCGTTGGAGTTTAACCCCCGTGTCTGTCTAGCTCGGGTGATTTCCGGACAATCCCTCACTAGATGCCCTCGGCGATCGCACATATAACATGCCCGGGGAGGGGGGGCGGCTCCGTAGCGGGTCCCCTGTCCGCTCCCTCTCCCAGTACGCAGTTGTCCCAAATCGGCCTCTAATTGGGACACCCTCCCGGCTAGTCCCCCTACTGTCGAGCGTAGTTCACCCATCTCAGACTGGAGGGTCTTCATATTTTTATTTGCGTCCTCGCGTACCTGGTTTACCTGGCCGGAGACATCCTTTATACCCGTTTGTATACCGGCAACCCATCCCGGGGTTGTCTCGCGGGACACTGGAGGCTCTCTTTCCCGGCCCCTTACCTTCCTCGCGAGCTCCTGTTCCTCCTCCTCGTCTTCCGAGAGCAGGCTCGCAATGGCGCGCTCTCGTCCCAGCCCCCGGAGCTGCGCGCGTTCGCTGTGAATTCTTTCACACTTACGTGCGCGCTCGACAAGGGTGTTAAAGGGAAGACGTGGGCAGCTCATGTCTGGCTGCCACCACGCCGTGCGAGACAGGTACCGCTGGATTTTCTCGGCGGCCAGTTCCTCAATAACATCAGTTGCGTACCCCGGGCGTGCGATCTTTATTAACTCGCGCACATCCTCGGCGTAATCACGTAGATCTTCGCCAGGTTGGCGCCGGCGCGCCTCTAAGGCCGATTTTGCTTCCTCCTCGTCACGCGTGCCAAAGCGCTGATCGAGTCGGTGCATCAGCTCCTCTAGCTGTGTCTGTGCGCTCGCGGGTAACGCTTCTACAAAATCGGCTGCCCGCCCATCAAGATTCATATTAAGTTGACGTACTGCCTGCGCGTCCGTCCATCCATTAATTTCCTTGGCCCCTAAGAGATTGCGGGCGAATGCCTTCCACGAAGGGGCCCCCCGGCCGGTAAATATTAGTCTTATTTTAGCGTGAGGTAACGCGGGGGTCCGTACCGCTTCCGACACCAATTTGTGGGGGTCGCTAGCCCCCGAAATCCCTCCCTCGATAATGCTAACGGCCGGGCTAGCATCATCAATCGCCCCCCCGCTGCTAAGCGAACCGCTGCTAAGTTCCTCACCCATGGTGTGGGAGCCGTCGCCCGAGGGTTCCACTCCACCGCGGGTCCGCGTAGCAGGCATGGTTAATTACGTACGCGCACACCCACACACACAGCTCTGTACGGCACTCACTCTTGCGCTTCTCTGCGCCGCGCTGGCCGCTCACGTTACAATCGCGCACCTGGGGTACGCCGATTACGCACGCCGCGAGCTTACGCACACACAGTACCACACGCGTCCCCACACGCAACCCGCGCGCTCAGCTCCGCGCAGCGCTCACTCACGTGGCGAACCACTGTGCACACAGCGCCCCCACACGCTCACACTGCACGACAAGATCACGCGAGACCACGCTTCGCTATTAATGATTTATTATATGCCACCTGCGAATTGATGTTGAATCAGTGAGTCGACGAGGCTGGCCTATTCCACTAAACCTGTACCTATTCCCTATTTATCGGCTATGATTCTAATTCCCCTTCTTACTCACTGTTAAGTGTCCACGGCGGTCCGCTGATCCTTGTGTTAACCGCGTGCCTCGGTGCGTCGCACGGACGTTCGGGTCGCTGGCTCGAGCTGCGTCTGGTCGCCTGGCGCTGGAGTAAGAGAGCGATTTCCCCTTTGCGCTCCTCTATTTATCCTCCCTACCTCCAAAGGGGATGCTGCGCTGAACAATGGGCTCGTGCACCCCAAGCCCGCGCACGGCAGTCCCCAGGCGCTGTTGATATGCTAATCAGTGTGCTGCGTGCAAGGCGTAAATCCTAATTACTCCCTTACCCTTCCTAACAATGGGGCTTGCGCGCTCAAGCGCAATTATCCCAACCCTCCATGACTATGCGCAACAGCCCCTGTGACCCCGCTATTCATGCTGTCCCGTGCCTCCCCTGCTTGCCCCGTCGACTCGTGGGGGTGTGTGTGGGGGGAAATGCGCCTCAACCGCGGTGGCCGAATGCCCCACGCCGCGACCATACCATATTAAGGCCGGCAGCAGCGCCGCGGTACCACGTAGCACGGGGGAGGTCATCCAATTCCCTGATCGCCGGAAACCGTGAGAATTAATCCCGATAAGGGTCTCTCGGATAAAAACCGGTCGATCGGGTAACCTTCCCTTCCAGCTCTATGGGGGGGGGGGGGGGGATGCGTGCGGGTGTGTGCTTATGTGGGGCGGGTGATTGGGGGCAGTGCGGTGGGGGAAGCCGGGCGGCTCCCTGGCTCGGCAGAGCGGCCCCGTCGCTGTGGCACCACAATTGCCCTTGCGGAGCAGCCTGTGAACGCGACCCACGGGGAACTGCAGGCCGGCGCGGGAAGAGCGGGACTTTGCCTTGGCGCGAGATTTGCCACCGGTCTTGCCGCGTCCAGACATCGTTAAGGGACCTAGGATGCAAAAAGCACTGTAGACAAAGTACGAACGATTTGTGACGTTAACACGCACCACCGGAGCGGCTTTTATAGCGGAGACGAGGATCGTAGAGCGCGCCGCTGCTGATTGGCTCCTCTCGGTCGAGTCCCGCCCTCTCCTTGAGCCACCAATGACAAGCCGGGACGCGAGGATTCGATGTTGACTTTCATTATTTGTATCCATATATGTTTTAATGCGGACACGCATCTTATGAATTAAACAATGCGATACACGTACTTCATAGGTTCAAGTTTTAAGCATGATAGAGTTAATTTATGGACGCGTGCTGGCAAGTCAAACTTATAAGCGGATTCCGCAAATATCAATGTATTATTGATTATAATCATCATTTTGAGGGACCGCATTGGTTATAAGAAATCATTGTGATAGCCTTGAGCTCGTGATTGATCGCCCACGTGCCTATACGGTGTATAGATATTTTTCTTTAACCGCCTGTTCGGGCAATGCCTAAAAATATATGTGCGTGAATAATTCAGTCCCTTAGTTTGCAAAATGTGAACTTCTTATCAGCTCGGGCTTGAAACAGCATAAACCAATATCTTTGGGTTTAATCTATATATATAAAATCGTGAATGTCTGTCTGTCTGTGTGTGGATGTCGGACCATACGCACTTTCATTGGACGCCGGTTGCCCCTGGCAACGGCTAGCGACGGCGGTTGCCCCTGGCAACGGCTAGCGACGGGCTAGCAGTTGCGGGGTGGACGCCATCTTTAATTCCCGTTAAAAATAGGCGCACGCATTAACACGCGACTCTGAGGTAAATTCATCTAAGTTTCACGTCCTCTTTACTCCCCCCCCCCACCACAATGTGTGCTATTACTATTATAGGGTTGGTAGATTATTAAATTATAGCGATTACACAGTATTATTGTAGCGCGGTGGGAGGGGGGGGGGGGAAACGGCACCCGTACCCAGCGTCAGCCGGGTGGCAAAATCAGGCGAGGCGGGAGGCTCTGCACGGTGCTAGGCCTCCACACCCACCACGCGACTCCGAGGTAAAATACATTTCACCAAAATAACCCTTTTGTTGTACATTATGTAAACATGGTTTCACAACGCTTATATACAACACCAACGTGTGATGTTGAAAAAATATGAGCGGCGGGGTATAGAAAATGAACTTCATTGTCGCTTACGCCTGACGACTCGTGAGAGCCGTGACCAGCAAACGAAGGTTTCCGGCACCCGAACTTTGAAGGACACACATGGAAGCTTTCTCACGAGTAAGTGGTGGCTCTGAAAAGAGCCTTTGTGTTGTGCTTTGAGGGCCGAGCTGGGCGTTCAAGCGCGCTCGCCACGAATGCGGCGGGCGAGCTGAATGTCCTTGGGCATGATGGTGACGCGCTTGGCGTGGATGGCGCACAGGTTGGTGTCCTCGAAGAGCGCGACAAGGTACGCTTCGCTGGCCTCCTGCAGAGCCATGACAGCGGAGCTCTGGAAGCGCAGGTCGGTCTTGAAGTCCTGCGCGATCTCCCTGACGAGGCGCTGGAAGGGCAGTTTGCGGATGAGCAGCTCGGTGGACTTCTGGTAGCGGCGGATCTCGCGCAGAGCGACGGTGCCGGGCCTGTAGCGGTGAGGCTTCTTGACGCCGCCCGTGGCCGGAGCGCTCTTTCGGGCCGCCTTGGTGGCGAGTTGCTTGCGGGGGGCCTTGCCGCCCGTGGACTTGCGAGCCGTCTGCTTGGTGCGAGCCATGGCTTGGTGAGGGCAAAGATTCTCACAGGCGGGGAGGAGAAGGCGGCTTATGTAGCCCAGAGCGCGCGCTCACTGGTCAGCGGAGTCGTGACGTGCGAAGAAGGGGCGCGTGCTGATTGGTTGGCAGCGTGCAATGATCTCGAGTCGTCAACTCTTCTTCATCAACGAAATGTTCTCACTTTGGAGCATTGCAGAATGCCGCATCACGATGCAGTAGTTCCGTTTGAGCGCCGTCCATGTCCTTAACGGATGTTATTTTCTCAAGCAAACACCTTTCCGAAAACAACTTTACAGTGCTCCGCGTGATCTAAATAAAGTGTGAAGAAACTGCACTTCATTGGAAACAGTAATACGTAAAAATTATTCTTTGGTTCTTTCGGTAAAGTCACATATAAAGAAAAAATAATAAATTAAATAATAGCATACGACGTTTCGATTGCAACACAAGCAATCATCATCAGGTATAATGAAATAGCGACATAAAATCTAACCAGAAAAAATTATAGACAGACATATATGCAGAAAGATATCACCAATTTGTTTCTTTATATACGTGACTTTACCGAAAGAACCAAAGAATAATTCCTGCAGTCACGAAAGCTCCAAAGTTAATACGTAAAATTGTCGGAAAGAGGTGATCACAGGGATAGATATCTATTCTCTTGGCATTGAGATGATGATCATCAATTATACTGCAAGAGTCATCCATGCTAGGCGCTTACTTTTACATAGATGCACACGTGCAAAATGTTAGTTCCTGCCCGAAAATACAACCACGAATTAAATATATTGCATTGCAAGGTTTTGGCACCAAATATCCAATGTAATATCTGAATGGGCTGCAGATGAAATCAACGGACAAACAAGTCCAAGAAATGCCTGCTGGTGAATGTGCCATGAATATTGTTATCGCTTTTATTCACGTGGAAACAGGTTAAAATGCGTTCCATCTCTCCATTTCACTCAATGAGCGAACAATGTCCCCGCGTGAACCGGGGCTTTGTTGGAAGTTTCGTTTAGTACTCCTGCTAGGACTGGTACAAGCAGGTTCGGAGAGGTGGGTGGCTCTGAAAAGAGCCTTTGTAATTAATGGTGGAGTCGAGGCTTCACTTGGAGCTTGTGTACTTGGTGACGGCCTTGGTGCCCTCCGACACGGCGTGCTTGGCCAGCTCGCCGGGGAGCAGCAGTCGCACTGCGGTCTGGATCTCCCGAGAAGTGATGGTGGAGCGCTTGTTGTAGTGCGCCAGGCGGGACGCCTCGGAAGCGATGCGCTCGAAGATGTCGTTGACGAACGAGTTCATGATGCTCATTGCCTTGGACGAGATGCCGGTATCGGGGTGCACCTGCTTCATCACCTTGTAGATGTAAATGGCGTAGCTCTCCTTCCTGCGGTGGCGTCGCTTCTTGCCATCCTTGCGCGTAGCCTTGGTCACAGCCTTCTTGGAGCCCTTCTTGGGAGCAGGAACCTTGGCCGGCCCAGCGCTCTTTGATGCGGGAGGATCGGGCATGTCGACGCGTCGTAGGCAGCAGCTTCAGGTCAGAACAGACGGGAAGCGAATGTGGATGTCGCTCGCGCGTTGAGCTCCTTTTATAGGAGGCGAGATGCAAATCAGAGGATCGTAGTGCGCGGCGCTGCTGAGTGGCTCTTTTAGTACCGTCCCTCTCCATCAGCCTCCAATGAGAAACGCGGACGCGATGTTCACTTTAATATCGATTTTACTGCCAAAAGGACTTGTGAATATAACACAATGTAATGTCCAAACATGTGTATTAGTGAATTGCAGCCATGGCATTGCCTTTGTTTTAAAAAGGATGACTAGAAAACCCAATACAGTATATTGTGTTTTGAGCGTGGGTTTTTTTGTTTCTTACGAGGGATTGTTTCACCACTCGTCTAATACGGCGCACGGGCGTTTTATGAACGCAATTTGGAAAAATACAAGCGCTCGGTGGAGAAAAATAACTTCGCTGTTGTGCTGTACAGGTGGAGATTAGCATTCCGGCACGCTCCGTCAATTAGGACGAGTGTGCTGTAAGATTGTGGCGCCAAATGCTCTACGTAACATCGGAATCGGCTGCAGCTGGAAAAAATTAACGCAAAAATACCAGAAATGGGTACTGTATTAAGGCGTTCAAGAATTACGCCTTGTTAAATGTGACGTGTCGTGAATATCATGATTTCATTCATTCATGTGGAAGCAGATGAAGATTCGCCAACTCAACAAGCAAACGTCCAGCACGCTCACAACAACCCAGGACATGTGCTCCATTCAGAGCGTGTTTGGCAACACTGGCGCAAGCAGTTTCGAAGAGGTGGGTGGCTCTGAAAAGAGCCTTTGGGTTGGCTTAGTGTGCGAGAGATGGGCGCTCAGCCTCCGAAGCCGTAGAGAGTGCGGCCCTGGCGCTTGAGGGCGTAGACCACGTCCATGGCGGTGACGGTCTTGCGCTTGGCGTGCTCCGTGTAGGTGACGGCGTCGCGGATGACGTTCTCAAGGAAGACCTTCAGGACGCCGCGGGTCTCCTCGTAGATGAGGCCCGAGATGCGCTTCACACCGCCGCGGCGAGCGAGGCGGCGGATGGCGGGCTTGGTGATGCCCTGGATGTTGTCGCGCAGCACCTTGCGATGGCGTTTTGCGCCTCCCTTGCCGAGCCCCTTACCGCCTTTACCGCGTCCAGACATTGCGACTACTTGTGACAAAGCTCCTCGCGAGAGACTGCGCGCTCAGCTTGCAGCAGCAGCCGCCTTTATACCCGAAGCGTGGCGACGTCACCGACCACCCCTGCCCTCCGCGATGGCTCCGCCTTAAACCTTCCACCTTTAACCTCTGCGACGAAGAAAACCCTCCACCGTCGTCAATAACACTTCCTTGACATGTATAATATGCGACGTTTTGGGCAATGGCCCTTCTTCGAAGCACTCTGGAATGATATTGGCACACCCGCAGCGAACGCCAGAGGAACGCCATCTGTTGCAAGATTGCACGTGGAGTGAATAATCGGTGTAATAAGGTCTTGTTTGCAAGTGAACAAGATGAACTAACTTTATAATCGTGTGAAGCTAAACGGCTTCCAACACAATAGTTGAGTGAACGTCACCAACTATTTCTCCCAAAGTAAGAAAGACATTGCAAACAATGCGATATTTACGTATAGTAATTAATTTAATAGAGAAGTTTAGATGGTGCACCGCAATGTTTACAAAACAAAAACAAAGTGAAAAGGCGAGAACGAGCGAATGAAGGCAAATTGAGTAAAGCTGTCTGGAATCAATACATTTTAGACTAAATTCCATATTTGGCACCAGTAGCATGATGACGGAATGAAGAGGTGCAACACATAATCAAAATTGGAGGTTCGTCAAGAATGCATCGATTTTGAATCTGGATTTAGATTAGAATCGCCAGCGAGAATGCTGACGTCGCTGAGATTACTCTGCACTCAGTTCGAGTGAGGGAGCTGCCACCCGCCTCGCCTGTGCTTGTGATCCCTGCTTTCGGGCTCGATCACTCCCATCACATCAATGCTTAAAACACATCGAGTGGGTGAAATGTTACACAGTTAATTTGAACTAATTGAAGCGCAGCAGCATCTGGTTCACTTTTTTAACGAAGTGGGTGGCTCTGAAAAGAGCCGTTGAGGTGGAGTGAATCGAGCGTCGGTCGTCCCATCGGATTCACTTCTTTGGCGCAGTCTTCTTGGGCTTGGCCGCGGCCTTCTTGGGCTTGGCCACCTTGGGTTTGGCGGCCTTGGCCTTGACGGTCTTGGGCTTAGCGACCTTGGGCTTCGCAGCCTTGGGCTTGGCTGGGCTCTTCGCCGCCTTCTTGGGCTTAACAGCCGACTTCACCTTTTTGGGGCTCTTGGCCGCCTTGGCAGCCGCGGGCTTCTTTGCTTTCTTGGGAGACTTCTTGGGCGCGGTCTTCTTGGCTGCCGCGGGCTTCTTCACCTTCTTGGCTGCCGCGGGCTTTTTAGCTGCGGGCTTTGCCGTTGACGACTTGGGCTTCGCCTTTGCGGCAGCCTTTTCCTTGTTGAGTTTGAAAGAGCCAGACGCGCCGCTGCCCTTCACTTGCGCCACGGCGTCTTTGGCCACGAGCTTCTTGATGGCCAACTTCACGCGGGCATTGTTCTTCTCCACGTCGTATCCTCCGGCAGCAAGCGACTTTTTGAGCGCAGGAAGAGACACGCCGTTCCTCTCCTTGCTGCTGGCCAGAGCCTTGAGGATGAGCTCGGACACGCTGGGGCCGACCTTCTTGGCCTTTGGAGCGGCGCGCTTCTTCTTGGGGCTTTTAGGCGCTGAAGTAGCCGCAGCTGGTGGTTGAGCAGGAGCAGTTTCCGCCATCTCAAGACGTCGCTTTTATCGCCTCGCCTCTTGGAAACCGAAATCAGCGCTCTCACGAATTCGAACCGAGCGTCCTCCAGGCCCGAGGTTATTATAGAAGCGGCGTACTGAATGCGGACGTCGCTGAGATCATCCAGCACTCAGCTCTAGTGAGGGAGTTGCCTCCATACTCACTGTGTTTATCACGCCTGCCTTTGGGCTCGATTACTCCCGTAACGTTCATACTTACATGCATCTAGTTAATACATCATCACGAAGATCACTTCTTTAATGTACGTTACTTATGCAATATACGACAATGCTCACGATATAAATTATAATTCTAAACAAGTGAACAACCAACATTTGGGAGACATTGTTCGGTCAGGGCAAGATATGATGATTGTCGGTTTTCAAAAGTGTTACTGATGAACACTATTTAAAACGCACTCGAATTTTTTGCAAGACAAGATGCTTCAACAGACTACTCATATTTAATTCCAACGAAATATTTTCTATTTAAGTTTTGCCTCGCGCGCTCGCGATTCCTCCTCTCGCGCTATGGTGAGGACTGCGCGCCATGTCAACAGTCCCTTGTCACCGAACTTTTAACTGGACGTTTTAATCGAACTTTGAAATGAATAAATATATGGATTTTCAGATGGACAACAAACTGAAGAAAATTACTCAAAATTAACCGACATTAAATAGAAAGTTTAACATTTTACGTGGCAAGAGATGAGTAGCTCACGCACTGCAGAAGGGTCGCGCGCCTTGAACAAGATCGAGGCACGGTGCACAATCATCACCACTCAAATTCAACTCAAGTGACTCCGCAGTCGAATGTTTAAAGAAAATATATAATCTTACGTTTAATGCATTGACAGAGTTGATATTCTAGGAGCGCAGGATGGTTCATGCGATGAGTTGTTTTTACTGCAATAAGTAACACGTATTTACTGCAATAAGTAACACGAATGAGTAATCATTGGAAAGATGTTATTAACCATGTAAAAAATATTTAACTACACATATTTGTACCATCTTATTTGACAGGTAATATTATACTTTACCGAGTGTTAACATCCCCAGCGTTTACCAGTACTTTTATGCTTACTATCAACTAACACCGGCCACAACCCTGAGATGATGTGCTCATTTGTTCTCTTTTAGCCCCGACACCCCCCGCCACTCCCCGGCAATCACATTCAGATAAGCCCCCCTCTTCCCCCCTGATTTGTTATTTTAATTATTATTTATATTATTTTAATTATTTATTATTATTGTTTTACCTACGTGACTTTACCGAAAAAACCTAAGAGTATGAATCCTTGCAGTCACGAAAGCTTCAAATCTAGAACGAATGCAATAATCATTCATTCCACGCGCATGTGAAGAGGCGTAGTAGATTGGTTTATGCACTTCTGGTAGGAACGAAGTGGACCAGACTCCAATAGATTATATCGTGCGTCCGTTTGTCCGTCCGTCCGTCCGTGTGTCAACATCGCCCACTACTGCAAACACTTGGCATGACCCTACAAAAACATTTAGACTCAGTGACGCTATCCTGGCTAACGAAGTGTAACATTCCCTTATAATTCCCTCAGATAGCTTTTAATTACAATATTACATTCCCTGATGTTTTTAAATAGCAACATTTACATTTAAAGCTTTTACATAAATAATTAAAACATTTATATTAACAATTAACGCATGGCGGCCTAAGGCCTACAGCTAGGCCTAAAGCCTAGACCTAGGCCTCAAGCTCTCCCTTCGTATAGTTCCCCCGTGTGTGTGAAAGGGAGTAAATGTTTAACAATGTTACATTCCCTGATGTTTTTTTAATAGAAACATTTACATTTAAATCTTTTACATAAATAATTAAAACATTTATATTAACAATTAACTCATGGCAGCCTAAGGCCTACAGCTAGGCCTAAGGCCTAGACCTAGGCCTCAAGCTCTCCCTTCGTATAGTTCCCCCGTGTGTGTGAAAGGGAGTAAATGTTTAACAATGTTACATTCCCTGATGTTTTTTTAATAGAAACATTTACATTTAAATCTTTTACATAAATAATTAAAACATTTATATTAACAATTAACTCATGGCGGCCTAAGGCCTACAGCTAGGCCTAAAGCCTAGACCTAGGCCTCAAGCTCTCCCTTCGTATAGTTCCCCCGTGTGTGTGAAAGGGAGTAAATGTTTAACAATGTTACATTCCCTGATGTTTTTTTAATAGCAACATTTACATTTAAAGCTTTTACATAAATAATTAAAACATTTATATTAACAATTAACGCATGGCGGCCTAAGGCCTACAGCTAGGCCTAAAGCCTAGACCTAGGCCTCAAGCTTTCCCTTCGTATAGTTCCCCTGTGTGTGTGAAAGGCAGTAAATGTTTAACAATGTTACATTCCCTGATGTTTTTTAATAGAAACATTTACATTTAAATCTTTTACATTAAAAACAACTCCCTACCTCCCCCCCCTCGTCGGCGGCTCTCCAGCCGAGCCAGGCCTGGGAATCTCTCCCCCGCTCGGGGTGTATTGGGCGGGGCTACAGCGGCAGGGGGCGGGGCTACAGCGGCAGGGGGCGGGGCTACAGCGGCAGGGGGCGGGGCTACGCGGCAGGGGGCGGGGCTACAGCGGCAGGGGGCGGGGCTACAGCGGCAGGGGGCGGGGCTGGGCGGGGACACCGAGATGGGGCGGGGCCACGGGTGGCGGGGCGGGGTTACGCGGGTGGAGGGCGGGGCCACGGGGGCGGAGCGGGGCCACGGGGGAGCGGGGCGGGGTCAAGCGGTGTGAGGCGGAGCTTAGCGCGATGGAGGGAGGGGCCGTTGGCGAAAAGGGGCGGAGTCTACAGTCGAGAATACAGTACCGGGGGCGAGAAGGCGGGGCTAATAGTGATAGGGGCGTGGCCCACGGCGCTGCATATCGTGCAGATTGTTACTACTCACTGTGTCTGCTCCAAGCTGCACTCACGTAGGTACATACTTGTGCAATGCTATTATTTTTTGCAGAACGGTTACTACTACTTTATTGTTTCTTATGTTCCACTACGTCTACGTTTCCATCCACTTATTGGCGCCCATTTTTTGCCATTTCATTTTATTATAGCCATTCAATTGTTCGGTCCTACCAGCCCACCCCACAGGGACCTGTTTTCACCAACGCACAGCAATATTCGTTCCAAGAACAACCCCGGGCACACGTCCCACAGCCCCTTTTAACTCCTCAATCTCCGCTCCCAATACACATCCGCGTCCAGCACGCCTGGTCCGGGTAACGTCACTGCCCTTTAACCCCTGACCCCCCCCGTCCAGCTCTTCCCCGCGCGTGCGATTGGTGCGTCTTGTCGTGAGAGCGGAGATGTCGTGTTTGCGTGGTGCGTGGTGCGTGAGGGTGGCTCGCAGATCCCTCAAAGTGCTTGAACCATTCACCGACTCCTCTTCACATGTAATCTGACCGCTCAAAAAGAGCGAGTTTTATTCTTTAAAAAACACGATACTTTCTTCCAATAGGCATCCCAATTTATTCTAAACCATGTTCCATGATTGATGCAATGTTGGAATGCTGCTCAAATACCGTTCCTAAATTAGACATAAAGGGTATCTGGAATGAGCAGAGCATTCGTTTAATTGCGAGCAATTTGGGACGAGGGCAACTCGACGACAGTGTCCTTATTAAACAGGACCCTGCGGGGTGGGCTGGTAGGAACGAATAACCAAAGAATATAAACATAATGTATTATTACACTTGTTTAGCCAGGAAAGCCCCACTGAGTCAAAAGGTTGTTGTAGGGTCCTGCCAAGTGTTTGCAGTAGGCGGCGATGTTGCTACACCAAATCGGACGATACGAAGGGAGAGATTGAGGCCTAGTTCTAGGCTTTAGGCCTAGCTGTAGGCTTTCGGGCCCTGTGAGTGAATTTTTTATTTAAATGTTTTAATGATTTATGTAAAAGATTTTAATTTAAATGTTTCTATTTAAAAACATGAGGGAATGTAACATTGTTAAACATTAACTCCCTTTCACACACGCGGGGGTACGATACGAAGGGAGAGTTTCAGGCCTAGTTCTAGGCTTTAGGCCCAGCTTTAGGCTTTAGGGCGCTGTGAGTTTTTTTATTTAATTTAAAAGTTTTAATTAAAAGCTATCTCAGGGAATTATTAGGGAATGTTACACGTGTTTAGCCAGGAAAGCCCTATTAATTTAAATGTTTTAATTAAAAGCTATCGGAGGGAATTATAATGAAAGGCCATCGGAGGGAATTATAAGGGAATGTTACACTTGTTTAGCCAGGAAAGCGTCACTGAGATTTTGTAGGGTCATGCCAAGTGTTTGCAGTAGGGGGCGATGTTGCTACACGGACGGACGGACGGACAAACGGACGGACGATATAATCTATTGGTGGCTGGTCCACTTCGTTCCTACCAGTATAACAAAACCCCTGTGTACGACTGTCCGAGCTCTTTGCAAGCAAGTGGGTGGCTCTGAAAAGAGCCGTTGTTGTGGTGGTAGAGGCGGCGGCGCGTTCACTTCTTTGCCTGAGAGGTCTTCTTGGGCAGCAGCACGGCCTGGATGTTGGGCAGCACACCGCCCTGGGCGATAGTCACGCCGCCCATGAGCTTGTTGAGCTCCTCGTCGTTTCGCACGGCGAGCTGCAGGTGTCGGGGGATGATCCTCGTCTTCTTGTTGTCACGGGCGGCATTGCCAGCCAGCTCGAGGATCTCGGCAGAAAGGTACTCGAGCACGGCGGCCAGGTAGACGGGTGCTCCAGCGCCGACCCGCTGGGCGTAATTGCCCTTGCGGAGCAGCCTGTGAACGCGACTCCTTGCAGTCACGAAAGCTTCAAATCTAGGACATATTAAAAGCTTGAAAGAGACATTAAATCGCAGTGTCCGTGATCTTAAAGGTGCATTGAAAAATTATAATACTCCGACTGATGCTCCTGCTGTTGTGGAGTGACTCATGCAGCCAGCTATGGCTGCAGGGTTTTGGTAGTACATGTTGTTTATGCTATTTATTGTGAAAATCCGGTCACAGTTCCTATGATCACTGTTTCATTGCTTTCATGGCTTTATTTTGGTGATTTCGGAAAGTGTATTGGTTTAGCCATGTTTGTTGTCGTGCGGAGTTGAACATGCCTTAATCTTTAGTTGCCTTGTGGTTGTTGTTGTTGTTTGACTTGCATCCCACTGGGATTTTTACATACAGTGTTGGTGTACGGTGCTTTTTCTGCAATATTTTGCTGTCTTTTCTTGGATTTTCTGTTTGCACTCAGTCACATAGTCACTTGAAGATGTTTTCTGGTTCATGTTTTAGTTTTTTTGCTTGTTGCGGTGTTACCCAATTCAAGAGCCGAATGGCTCACAGGGCTACACCTAATAAATGAAACTTGACTTGAAATGAAATTAAAAGCTTGAAAGAGACATTAAATCGCAGCGTCCGTACGAAAGCATTCTCAATACCGACCCCCTGTAGACCCACATCTACCAACGTCCGCTCTGATTGGTTCGCGTACCGCTAATATATCCACATCCCCGACTTTCGTGCACTCCCATTGGTCTACTCGCCGCTAACATATGCAGATGCCCACCCTCCCGCACACTGATTTGCATGTTTCGCCCTCCCTCGCGCTCTGATTGGTCCTTGCCGCGCTAATTTATGCAGAGCCCCGCCCTCCACGCACTCTGATTGGTCATCGCCCGATAATTTATTCTAAACCCCACCCTCCACGCACTCTGATTGGCCCTCGCTCGCTCCTTTAATATATTCAGAACTCCGCTTTGCCCGTGTTCTGATTGTTCCTTCGCACGTTAATTTATGTAAATTTCCGCCCTTCGCGCTCTCTGATTGGTCCTCGCCGCGATAATATATTCATAACTCCGCCTTCCCCGCGCTCTGATTGGTGCACGGCAGCCGCTATCGCGTCACCATCAATCCCCGCCTTCTTCGCCCTCCGATTGGTCCCGCGCTAACGCGTCACCATCAATCCCCGCCCTCCTCGCGCTCTGATTGGTCCTCGCGCCAACTAATATATGCAGACTCCGCCCCTCGGGCCTTTCTCTCTCCCTTCTCTCTGCCAGGACCACCACGAGGCGAAGCTGCGTGTCAAGTGAGGCCGTTCTCCTTCCCTTCGCTCTCTCCTCGCTCGCCTTTCGTTCTCTCCTCGTTCTCTCCTCGCTCCCCGCACTCGCCTCGCTATCGACGAGAGAATTCTCCCCACTTCGGTCGCGTGAGGCGATAGAGACCCCCCCCCACACTAACCCCCCCCTGCCCCCAACACCGACGCCGGTCTCCCGGCAGAGTTCCAGGCAAGGCCGTAGGCTCCGCGCGACGTGGCGACTAGGCCCGCAGCAGCCGGGCCACGTGGAAATCGGGGGGATTTTTTTTTTATGAAACGCGAATTTTGTTTATTGAATTGAAACGTTTAACTTCGTTACAATGGGACGATTGCGTCGTTGTTGTTTGCAAGAGGCCGGTGTGAGCGAGTGAGTTGAGATGTTAGCTGCCTCGCCCGGTAATCAAGGAGATCGTGGCTTCGATTCCTAACCCTGACGATCCCTGTTGTATAGTCTTGATGGCTTGGAGATGTTAACCACCTCGCCTGGTATACAGGAGGTCGTGGGTTCGATCCCGATCCTGACGTTGCCTGCTGTTGTATAGTCTTGATGGCTAGGAGATGTTAACTACCTCGCCTGGTATACAGGAGGTCGTGGCTTCGATCCCGACTGACGCCTGATGTTGTATATTTGGAGTCTGCCTCTATCCCCGTGGTGGTCACTGTGTGGATTTTGTCTCCGCGTCTTCCGGTTTTTTTCCCTCCACATTTTTCGATGTAACGTAAACCCACGCGTTTAGAGCGTTCGGCACGATCAGCCGCTTGGTTGAGCGGCTATTATATGTGATGGCGAGGGGGTCCCCTCTGCGAAAGATCTCAGTGGGACCCTGAACCTGGTAAAATATAAATAATTTAGTTTGGCTCTCGATGAGTATGGGCCTCTGTGGGTCTATATGGTTCTATGTGTGGCTGGATTTTGTGGGTTTACTATGCCTCTCTGAGTCTCAGTGAGTTGATGGCTGTGAGTCTTAAGTGGGCCTATGCCTCTGAGTCAGAGGTTCTATGGCTCTGAGTCTCAGTGAGTTGATGGCTCTATGAGTCTCAGTGGGCCTATGTCTCTATGAGTCTCAGAGGGTCTATGGCTCTATGAGTCTCAGTGGGCCTATGTCTCTATGAGTCTCAGAGGGTCTATGGCTCTGAGTCTCAGTGGGCCTATGGCTCTCTGAGTCTCAGAGGGTCTATGGTTTCTCTGAGTCTCAGTAATTTGATGGCTCTCTGAGTCTCAGTGAGTTGATGGCTCTGAGTCTCAGTGGGCCTATGTCTTTATGAGTCTCAGAGGGTCTATGGTTTCTCTGAGTCTCAGTGATTTGATGGCTCTCTGAGTCTCAGTGAGTTGTTGGCCCTGAGTCTCAGTGGGCCTATGTCTTTATGAGTCTCAGAGGGTCAAGGTCTCTGAGTCTGTGGGTCTGTGGCTCTCTCTGAATGTCTGGGTTATGTCTCTGAGTCGGGTGGGTATTTGGTTCATGGAGTTTTTAGACTATTTATATGGCTGCTGCTATAAATTTGCACGTGATGATGATAAGCCACTTCATGAGCCACTTAATTGAGCTGTCATTTGTGATGGCCAGGTCGCTTCTGACAAAATAGCTGCATGGCTCAGTCGGGCCTTGCCTGGTAACAATAAAAAGTAATCTTTGTAACATACGGGAGCGGTGGCGCAGCCGTTAGCGCGCCACCAAACTCAGCAGAGGCCCCAAGTTCGATTGCCGCTCACGACCACCAAACCAACACGGTCATGTGCACTGGCTCCTAGGCCGCTCCCCTCTGTCGACTCTGCCTTGACAAATGAGTTACCCGGTGTGATGTGCAGTAATAGACACCGCCACTAGGGAAGGAGACACCCACCCACTCAACTACTCCGGCACCTACTCACCTACCCACTCCCATCATCCACTCAAACACTCACCCTCATCGGGTACCTACTCAACCACCCACTCAACCACTCACCCATCCACTCAACCACTTACCTACTCAGTGACCTACTCACACACTCAACCACCCACTCACCCACCCACTCACCCATCCACTCAAACAACCACTCACCTACTCAACGACCTACTCACTCACCCACTCAACCACCCACTCAACCACCCACTCAACCACCCACTCAACCACCCACTCAACCACTCACCCATCCACTCAACCATCCACTCAACCATCCACTCAACCATCCACTCAACCACTCACCTACTCAACGACCTACTCACCACCCACTCAGCTGGTGTTAATGGTGGCCGTGATCTGGATTTGAACCAGTGATGGCGATTATCAGAACCTGTCCCTGGGCCTCCCCTAGATCGACTCAACCTCAAATATGTACCTGGTGTAGCCGTGTGTAGTAAACATCGCCACTGGGGGAGACAAAGGCGGCCGGGCGGGCGTGTTGCTGGCTACTCACCCCCTCGTGTGCCACAGTGCCGGCCTTCAGAGGCGCTGCTGCTGGCTACGAACGGCACTTGCCCCCTACAGCATGTTAGAGGCTACCTGGGAATCTTTTGTTGTAACATTTGATTCAGTTATTTATATCAACATGATTATTATTGGGAAATATACATGTCTATCATAAGTATGTGTGTCTCTGTGTGGTGAGTCTGTGTGTCTCTGTGTGGTGAGTCTGTGTGTCTCTGTGGTGAGTCTGTGTGTCTCTGTGTGGTGAGACTGTGGGTGTCTGTGTGATCAGTCTGTGGGTCTCTGTGTGATGCGCTGTGGGTCTGTGTGATGAGTCTGGGTCTCTGATGAGTATGTGTGTATGATTAATCTATGGGTCTGAGGAGTCTGTGTGGAGAGTCTGGGTCTCTGTGTGATGAGTGTGGATATCTGTGGTGAGTCTATGGGTCTATGTGGTGAATCTATGGGTCTCTGTGTGACGAGTCTATGGGTATCTGTGTGATGAATCTATGGGTCTCTACCATTGCTGTATTAACCCTCCCTCCCCTACCCCCCCCCCATCTCTGTGCCCACCAGGATGCGTTACGTCTCTGCGTACCTGCTGGCCGTCCTGGGTGGCAATGCCAACCCCACGGAGAAGGAGCTCAAGGCCATCCTGGCCAGCGTGGGCATCGAAGCCGAAGGCGACAAACTGGGCAAGGTGATGATGATACCCGCCAGTGCGGCTTGGAATGCGGCTGGGCAGAAAGGCTCGTTAATGATAATGGGGTTGGAGGGGGTTGAGTTTGTGGGTGAGCGAGTGGTTCAGTGGTTGAGTGAGTGGGTGGGTGAGTTGGTCAGTCATTGGGTGAGTGTGAGTAAGTTATTGGGTGGGTTAGTCATTGGGTGAGTGGGAGGGTGAGTAAGTGGGTGAGTGAGTGTGTGAGTGAGCGACTCGGTGGATGGGTGAGCAAGTGGGTTTGTGGGTGGGTGGGTGGGCGGGCGAGTAGGCTTGTGATCGGGTGAGTGAGTGGTGGGTGGGTGGCCGAGTAGGTGGGTGGGCGAGTAGGTGGGTGGGCGCGTAGGCTTGTGATCGGTCGAGTGAGTGGTGGAGTGGGAAGGTGACGTTGGGGTGACATTGTTTCCCCCCCCCCCCCCCGCAGGTCGTCGGGGAGCTCAAAGGGAAGAACCTGGAGGAGGTGATCGCTGCAGGTAGCAGCCTCCCTGCACACTGACACACTGACACAGACACACACACACTGACACACACTGACACAGACACACACACAGACACACTGACACAGACACACACACAGACACACTGACACAGACACACGCATAGACACACGCACAGACACATGCACAGACACACGCACAGACACACACACAGACACACACAGACACACACACAGACACAGACACACACACACACTGACACACACACTCACACACTGACACACACACAGAGACGCAGACACACACACTGACACACAGGTATACAGCCAGACACAAAGACAGACACTAGACGGACACACTGACACAGAGACAAAGATACACAGACATAGACACACACTCATTCGGTCACCTACTCATGGTGTTGATGGTCGTGATGTTGTTGATGTCGAGTTAGGCAAGCTGGCATGCATGATGGTGATGATGATGTGGCTGTAGGAAAGCTGTCCTGTGTGCCGTGTTGATTGCCTGTTTTTGACGTTGTTGTTGACGGTTTAGGTGTAGGCAAGTTGGCCTGTATGTCGGGTTGACTGATGTTGTTGACTGTTGTTGTTGACGGTGTTGTTGTTGACTGATGTTGACTTGTCACTAGGGGTAGGCAAGTTGGCGTGGGTGCCGGGTTGACTGTTGTTGTTGACTGATGTTGTTGACTGATGTTGTTGACTGATGTTGTTGACTTTGTTGTTGTTGTTGTAGGTGTGGGCAAGTTGGCCTGTGTGCCGGGTTGACTGTTGTTGTTTTGTTGTTGACGGTGTTGTTGTTGACTATGTTGACTGTTTTTGTTGACTGTGTTGTTGACTGTTGTTGTTGACTGTTGTTGTTGTAGGTGTAGGCAAGTTGGCCTGCGTGCCGTCAGGTGGCGCCGTCTCCTCCTCTGCCGCTCCAGCCGCTGCCTCCGTTGCAGCACCAGCTGCTGGTGAGGACATCACCGTCACCATCACCACCACCATCATTGTCACCACCATCGTCACCACCACCACCACAACCATCACCACCACCACCGTCGCCACCACCATCACTTATCCCCATCATCACAACACCATCACTCCGCCTCCATCTCTGTGTGTGTGTATCTTTATGTATGTCTGCATGTCCTTGTGTGTGTCCGTGTGTCTGTACTTCTCTATGGGGGCGCCAAAGTGGCTATGAGATGTTGACTACCTCGCTGGGTATACAGGAGGTCGTGGGTTCGATCCACACTCTGATACCTGCTGCATATTTGGAGTCTGCGTCTCTCTCCCATTGGCGGATTTGTCTCCGGGTCCTCTGGGTTTTACCCACCACATTTAGAATCAGCGTCACGCGTTCAGAGCATTTGGCCGCTGCTATAAATGTCCACGTGACGATGATGATGATATCAGCCGCTTGGCGGAGCTGTCATCATTTGTGAGGGCCAAGTAGCTTCTGCAAATGAGCTATGAGTATGGGTCTCTGTGTGTGTCTCTGTGTATTGACGTGTGTGTCTGTTGGTGTCTGTGTATTGACGTGCGTCTCTGTGTGTGTCTCTGTGTGTGTCTCTGTGTGTCTCTGTGTATTGACATGTGTGTCTGTGTGTGTGTCTGTGTATTGACATGCGTCTCTGTGTGTCTGTGTGTGTCTCTGTGTATTGACCTGTGTCTCTGTGTGTCTGTGTGTGTGTCTCTGTGTATTGACGTGTGTCTCTGTGTGTGTCTCTGTGTGTGTCTCTGTGTGTCTCTGTGTATTGACGTGTGTCTCTGTGTGTGTCTCTGTGTGTGTCTGTGTATTGACGTGTGTCTCTGTGTGTGTCTCTGCCTGTCTCTGTGTGTCTCTGTGTGTCTCTGTGTATTGACGTGTGTCTCTGTGTGTGTCTCTGTGTATTGACGTGTGTCTCTGTGTGTCTCTGTGTGTCTCTGTGTCTCTGCGTGTCTCTGCGTATCTCTGTGTGTGTCTCTGTGTATTGACGTGTGTCTCTGTGTGTCTCTGTTTGTCTCTGTGTGTGTGCGTCTCTGTGTATTGACGTGTGTCTCTGTGTGTGTCTCTGTGTATTGGCGTGTGTCTCTGTGTGTGTCTCTGTGTATTGACGTGTGTGTCTCTGTGTGTGTTTGTCTCTGTGCGTGTCTCTGCGTGTGTTTGTCTCTGTGCGTATCTCTGCGTGAGTGTCTCTGTGTGTCTCTGTGTGTGTCTCTGCGCATGTCTCTGCGTGAGTGTATCTGCGTGTGTCTCTGTGTGTGTTTGTCTCTGCGTGTGTCTCTGCGTGTGTGTGTCTCTGTATGCCTCTGTGTGTATTGACGTGCGTGTCTCTGCGTGCGTGTGTCTCTGCGTGTGTGTGTGTCTCTTGTGTGTGTCTGTGTGTGTGTCTCTGCGTGTGTGTGTGTGCGTGCGTCCCTACAGCGGAGAAGAAGAAGGAGGAGGCGAAGGATTCAGACGAGGAGGAGGACGACGACATGGGCTTCGGCCTCTTCGACTGAGACCCCCTCACCACCTCCTCACCACCCCCCCCCGGCCTCACCAAAACAATAAACTCTCCAGTCTCATACCCCTCGTGTGCGCGCACATCTCTCTGCCCGTGTGTGACCACGGCCAGTGTGTACGTACTCTTAGTTCTTTCGGTAAAGTCACGTAGGTAAAAAATGAAATTAAAATTAATAAAAAATAAAAACAATAAAATCACGACGTTTCAGAGGCAACACAAGCTTCCGTCTTCAGGTGTTGCCTCCGAAACGTCGTGATTTTTTATTGTTTTTTTTATTAATTTTTATTTAATTTTTTAGCTACGTGACTTTACGGAAAGAACTAAGACTATGAATCCTTGCAGTCACGAAAGCTTCAAATCTAGTGTGTACGTACACACGGCTGCGTGTGTGTGTACGCATGTGCAGATTTGCCGAGCGTTTCTGTGAGGTGTTGGGAGAGAGGGGGACATCCCTCGGCCCGGAAAACATAGTGGGGCAAAGTGGAGAAGGGGGTGCGAGGCACGCGGTGCCTCAATGGAGGAAGTTGATAATTGTTTTTTTACCCTTCTGTCTGGCAACAAAACTGAGTCATGTTTGCCTCCTTGTAAAAAGGTGTCAGTTTTGTTGCCAGATAGAAGGGTAAAAAACCAATTATATTTTTTACTGGCAAATGAGGTTCCAATGGTGTAAATGCTTACCCCGAGCTCTCATACTCTGATGGTGCATTGTCTTTGAGTTGTGCGCCTTTTGGCGTCATTTGGTCCAACACCATGTGAGACTAGGCTCTAAGTAAAGCTGTCTCGGGTGTGGATCAATCAACTTCAAGGACAGTGCATACATTATCAGAGTTATGTTTTTTGTTTGCATTATGGCTGCAGGTATTGTGGTCTATGCAAACATGACTCCTTGTAGAAAAGGTGTCAGTTTTGTTGCAAGATAGAAGGGTAAAAAACCAATTATCATTTTTTACTGGCAAATGAGGTTCCAATGGTGAATGGAGGAAGTTGTTGCCCCCGGTGAGTGGCTGGCTGAGGTGCCATCTGTTGAAATACTGAAGGTGATCCAGAGTCAGACCAGGAAAGGCACCGGGCAGAGATGATCTCAAGCGAAATGCAGAGGGAGGGTGGCGTTTGTGTGCGGACTGCCCTATATGACATCAAAATAATGGTCTGAACCACTGGACAGGTTCCACAGGATTGGAAGGATGCCCTGGTGGTCATCACTTTTAGAAGGGGGACCGCACAGACTAACAAGTACAGGGGCATCCCAGTGTGCCGGCAAAGGTCTTGTCAAGGGATGATGCAACATCGCCTTGCCAGGCAAGCTGAGGAGAGGCTTGCGGAGCCCCAATGTGGTTTCAGGAAAGGGCGGTCCTGCACAGATACCATATTTTCTGTCTGCTACAGCAGAGGTGTAGGGAATTCTAACAATCTGCTACCTTGACCTGGTCAAGGCCTATGATACCATCAGTAGGCCTGGGCTCTAGGTTCTTCGTGCTTTCGGAGTCCCTGACTCTACTCACGATCATTAAGGACCTTCATAATAGTGGGCCAGCTAAAGCTACATGGCTGGGAGTTGGAGTGCGACAGGGATGTCCCCTAGCTCCAACATTATTTAACATTTCGACCACGTAGTTGGTGAAACCTTCAATAGCTGTTCGCTGTTCCGGAGAAATTTCCATCTGGTACAGATACAATGGGAGGCTGATTGATGCCCGGGTATGGTCAAGGGATGGCTCCCTATTGGTCAACCATGTTATGTATGCCGATGATTGGTAATTGCTGCTCACTCAGAGGAGGAGTTGGAGACGCTGCTGCTCAACCTGGAGTTTGCCACGAAGAGGTGGGGCCTTACCATCAGCCCCACCAAAACTAAGCACGTGCCTGGGTATTTTGTACCATCGGACACTCCACCCACAACTCCCAATCAGTGATGGGGCAATTGTGGAGAGAGTGGAGAGTTTTCTATACCTGGGCAGTGTGCTTATGACTAGTTTGTTGGGGCCGCTGGTCCCCGGAGTCCCTCCCTGCTCCGTGCCTATGGCAGGGGCTCCGCCGTGCGCCGACCCCTCGCTGCTCTGCGAGCAGCTGCTGCCGTCGCTGGGCTCATCGCCCGACGGCTCCCCTCCCTGGTCCGTCCCTCCGCGAGCTCGTGTGAGAGGCATAGCTCGCCGCACGCCCTCGTTCACCTGCAGACGCTGCGTTGTCTCTCCACGGATCACGCGCTATTAAAACGGGGGTCGGGGGCGAACGGCGCTGCCCTCACACTGCGCGAGTCCCGGCGGCGACAGACGGATCGGGGACCTGCGGACGCACCGACCCCTTCACCCACACTACGAGCGCACACACCTGCACACACGCGACACCCACTCGTGCGCCGCTCTACGCAGCGCTCACTCACGTGGTGAACCACAGTGTACACACGCGCACCCACACGCTCACACTGCACGACAATATCACGCGAGACCACGCTTCGCTATTAATGATTTATTATCTGATACCTGGTAATTTAATGTTAAATCAGTGAGTCGACGAGGCTGGCCTACGCTGATACCTTTATACCTATTCCCGATTCATCTGCTATGATTCTAATTCACCTACTTACTTCCTGCTGGATGCCCACGGCGGTTCGTTGATCCCGTGCTCGCAGCGCACCTCGATGCGTCTCACGGACGATCGGGTCGCTGGACTGGAGAGCGTCCTGTCGCCTGGCGCTGGAGAGAAGAGAGCTATTTTCCCTCTGCGCCCCTCTATTTATCCTCCCTACCTCAAAGGGGATGCTGCGCTAAACAATGGGCTCGCGATCCTCTGGCACGCGCACGGCGGTTCTGGGCGCTGTTGATATGCTAATCAGTGTGCTGCGTGCAAGGTGTAAATCCTACTTAATCCCTTACCCTCCCTAACAATGGGGCCTGCGCGCTCAAGCGCAATTATCCCAACCCTCCATGACTATGCGCAACAGCCCCTGTGACCCCGCTATTCATGCTGTCCCGTGCCTCCCCTGCTCGCCCCGTCGACCCGTGGGAGTGTGTGTGGGGGGAGATGCGCTTCAACCGCGGTGGCCGAATGCCCCACGCCGCGACCACACCATATTAAGGCCGGCCGCAGCGCCGCGGTGCCACGTAGCACGGGGGAGGTCATCCAATCCCCTGATCGCCGGAAACCGTGAGAATTAATCCCGATAAGGGTCTCTCGGATAAAAACCGGTCGGCCAGGCGACCTCCCCTCGGAGCTCTATGGGGGGGGGGGGGGAAATGAGTGCGGGTGTGTTCATGTGAGGTGAGGTGAGGGGGACGCGGGGTCGGCTCCGTTGCTTGGTGGTGGCGAGGTCGGGGATTTGGTGCCTGCCGAACGGCTTCGTGGCGGCGGCATCACATAGCCCCCCGAGGTGCCAGTCCCCGTCCCGGGTTGACTGGAGCACCTCGCTTGGGCCGCGTCCACGAGGAAACGTTGCGGGGTCCGGGGGATCCGTCCGGACCTGGTGGCTGGCCTCGGGGCGGGTGGTTCCGTCCTCTGTAGCTCCTGCGGCGGTCTCCTCCTCCACTCCAGCGGCTCTCCCCGTCCCCCGGCACCTGTGGGCTGGGGCACAAACTCAGCAGCGGAAGGGTTTAGTGGCCGTCGTCCGCGCCGTCTCCGGACTGGATCGGGGCGTCTCGGAGACCAGGCGGGGCCCATGTAGTGTGCGAGGCCCCCCAACACGAGGGGTGCGGGTACTCCGGGATTTCGGGGCTTTCGGGTGACGGGGTCCTCTCTCGCCGGGGCCGCTTTCCATGGTTTTAAGCGGCGGACATTGACCACCGTCTCTCGACCCCTCTCCCCGCCGTAAATTAGTACCGTCCAGGGGGATATCTGCCGCACCACGGTCCAGGGTCCCCGCCAGTAGGTCGTCAGTTTCCCCACCTGCCCGGCCCCGACGCGAGGGGTGTGTAGCCACACCTTAGCGCCTGTCAGGAATAAGGGGGGTTCCATGCGGGGTCGGGTGCCCTGTTCCTGCCGCCGATGCGCGGCTTCCCCTTGCGGGTATGCTCGGCCTCGGGCTTCTCGCAGGGTCTCCAACAGGTGTTCCACGGGGCGGCTTCCCTCCTCCGGCTGGGGGGAAGGGACGCCGAATAGCAGATCTGCGGGTAAACGAGACTCACGGCCGAACATCATTAAAAACGGGGTTTGTCCCGTCGACGTGTGTACGGTGGTGGCGTAGGCGAAAAGGGCGTAGGGGAGGTGTTCGTCCCAATCCCGTTGATTTGCGGCCGCCATACGTTTGAGTTTCCCCGCTAGGGTCTGATTCATGCGCTCTACCATACCGTTCGCTTGGGGGTGATACGCTGTGGTTCGGTCCTTCTGGATTCCGAATTCTCGGCACAGTGCCTGGAACAGCTCGGCCTCGAACTCGCTACCCTGGTCGGTGAGGACTCGTTCCGGGATCCCGTGCTTGAGTACGTAATGTTCTACGAATGCCCGGGCCACCACCAAGGCCGTTTTATCAGGGATGGCCACTGCCACGGAGTAGCGGGTGAAATACTCTACTGCGACTAGAATATACCGGTTGCCTCGATGGGATCGTGGGAATGGCCCCTGTAGATCGATCCCGACCAGCTGATTCGTGCGGCTGACGCGGAACGGCCTTAGGGGTACCTGGTATCGTGCCGGTTTCGGCCCGCACTGCTGACAGGCGCGGCAGCCCTGTACCCAGGCCGCCACGTCTTGTGCCAATTTGGGCCAGAGATACTGGCGACGCAGGGTCTCTCGAGTGCGTCGTTCCCCATCGTGGCCCCCGAGTGGGTGGTCATGCACCAGCCGTAGCAGCTGGGGTCGCACCTGGGCAGGAACACAGATGCACCCCGGCTGGCCGGCCTCGGTTAACTCCCGTACCACTCCGTTCTGCACACACAACCGGGCATACAAACCGCTCCAGGGTCCTGGTAGGGCGCTCTTTTCCTCCCGCAGTGCCGCCTCCACGGCCGCCAGATCCGGATCTCGCTGCTGGGTCTGTCTCAGCTGCTCGTCGTTCAGGCCCGGGAAGGCGCAGCCGACGTCCTCCTGGATCCGTCCGATCGGGTCCCGAGCCGCGGGTCCCGCGCTTGCCG